CCATGGAGGTAAATCTTTCCCTTAATGATGATTACTGATGCCAGCTACTTAGGACGGATTGGAAAATGCACCTTGTTTTCTGTTCCTCTCAACCTTTTTCTCGACAAAACAGACGTCATGGCTGATGGGCAGGTCTGCACGCTCCGAGCTAATGACATGAGTTGACTCTAGATGCACTCCACCATATCAAATAAAAAGCTAGAAATGCCCCACCCCCTCAGGACTTCACACTCTGGTGTAACATTTATTGAGTTGTTGCCAAATCTTTACATGTCCATTCACCAAGAGCACAGTAATGGAGAACTCATTAGTACCTCTCGTACTGCACTCTGTTTAAGAGTCAACTGACTATGGTGCTTGACCTTCTGCAGCTGTGCTGATCATAATTGAGGACCCTAGAAAAATTACTATAAGAATGCTGTAAGACTGCTTATATCCACAGCACAGCTAGAAGGAAAATATACATTTTGCATAGCAGTTAAACTGTCCTGTTATCCATCTACGTTGTTTTAAATGCTGTACATCACTGGACCAGCAAATATGCATAGGCTGAAAGCCTTGTAAAAGCATGGGCCAAAAATCTGAGTGGTCCAGTCTCTCACAGTGTTGATCTCCAGTCCTGTAGATCAAAAGCCATCTGTACTTCGGTATTGGTTGTTTGCAATGAAAGATATTCATGCCCGTCAATCAAAGCTCTACTGGAATAAGAGGATATGGGTCGTAAAAACAGCTTTTATCATGGCTTTTTTCCTACTCCTTCACTTTCATCTAAAACAGTTTTACATAGGCGCAAACAACTCAGAATATGTCACTGCATGTATTATTTCACATTTATAAACCTTGTGTGGCCTGTATACTATAAGCAAAACATCCATCAGATATTTATTTACATATTATTTTGGTAGACTTGGTATGATGGATAATGACACACAGGCTGATGCTTTATAAATAAAAGAGGTGAATTTATAGTGTAAGAAAGAATAACCATGGGAAAAGGCACACGAGTCATTGCATTCATAAATCTGAGGCACAATATTGAATTTTCAGAAGTCAATAGCCACCATCTTGTTATAATTTCCAAATTAATGACGCTGTAATTTCAATTTAAACACAGAAGCTAGGATATAGACAGGTAGAAAGGTGTGAGAAGGACCTATAGTGCTTGCTTATGTTCGCCTGCTGCATCCTCTCGAGAAATCTTCACGAGAAATAATTCTATAAATTTAAGGGTCCATGGCATTGCAGAAGCCCAGAATGATCTCTCTTAGGGATTGATAATGGCATTTCATGGCTAATGGCAATTACATCACCACATTTTTTTAAAGACTAGCCTCCACCAAGGAGGGCTCCTGTTCTGTAGATGTATAATATTGTTCAACAGCATATGTGTTGTCATTGGAAATCCATTTCAGAGTCATGATGAGTGACTGATAATTAAATCTATCCATCTAGCCCCTCATCTTACATAACCACATAACTGCTTCCAACAAGAACTACAGACGGGGGCAGAAGACACATTGGGTGGGATGTCGTTCTTATGATTAAACACGAGACAAGCTTGCTTTTTTCAGCTGGAAAGGAAAAACACAACTCAAAGTATTACAATACAAATGAAGTGTTTTACAGTTTACTTACATTAAACATAGTATGTGTAATCTTTCAAAGGTTAAAAGTACTTATGAACTGCAGTAAAAAATCTTTTCTCAAACAAGAAAATATGACTGTCATTATGTGGTCATTTATATTTAAATGCCTGCGCATGTAGTCTGGGGTAATCATACATTTTATTCATACGCTGCACGAAATTGTGCAATGCATTATTGGTAAATGATGCAAACTTGTCTCCTAAGTTCTGAAGACAATAGAATCTTCCTTATGGGTTTGTATTAAAGTTGCTGTGACTTGCGAATTGCTTTCCCCGGGACAATATTGACATAATTATGCCTTCTTTCTCACAAACCGCACTAGTTCCAGAATTATTTTAGCACAAATATATAACAAGTATTATACTCACTAGTAGGCAAAGAAATTAAGTATTGATTCTCACTATGGGGAGAAGAAATAATATGTGAAATTACTTTTCATTCTGTCTTCCAGTTCTTCAGTATTGGATTTTGAATTAAATTCAGCATTTTTTTTCCTTTTACTTTGCTTACAGTTCTAAACTGTTGCCTTTGTAAATGGAATAAGGTAAACATGGCAGCCTTTTAGTCAGCAAGTAAGATTTCAATATTTTATTGAAAAATGGGAAAAGATAGTGGAAGCTAATGATTTTTAAAATACCATTGAAATTCACTATGTTGCCAATAGTATTGGGACACTCCTCATTGAATTCAGGTGTTCCAATCACTTCCATAGCCGCAGGTGTATAAAATCAAGCACCTAAGCATGCAGACTGTTTTTACAAACATTTGCGAATGAATGGGTCTCTCTCAGGAGCTCATTGAATTCAAGAGTGGTACCGTGATGGGATGCCACCTGTGCAATAAGTGAACATTCGTGAAATATCCTTGCTACTAAATATTCCCCAGTCAACTGTTAGTGGTATTATAACAAAGTGGAAGCAATTCGGAACAACAGCCACTCAGCCACAAAGTGGTAGGCCACGTAACAATAGCTACAAACCTCCAAACTTCATGTGGCCTTCAGAATAGCTCAAGAACAGTGCATATAGAACTTCATGGAATGGGATCCCATGGCCCAGCAGCTGCATTCAAGCCTTACATCACCAATTGCAATGCAAAGCGTTGGATGCAGTGGTGTAAAGCACACCGCCACTGGACTCTAGAGCAATCCAAAGGATGAGTCTGGGTTTGGCGGTTGCCAGGAGAACAGTACTTGCCTGACTGCATTGTGCTAAGTGTAAAGTTTGGTGGGGGGGGGGGGGGGGTTATGGGGGGGGCCTTGTTTTTCAGGGGTTGGGCTTGGGACCTTAGTTCCAGTGAAAGGAACTCTTAATGCTGCTGCATTCTTAGCCATTTTGGACAATTTCATGCTCCCAGCTTTGTGGGAACAGTTTGGGGATGACCCCTTCCTGTTCCAATATGACTGTGCATCAGTGCACAAAGCAAGGTCCATAAGGACATGGATGAGTGAGTCTGGTGTAGAGGAACTTGACTGGCCTGCACAGAGCCCTGACCTCAAACTGATAGAACACCTTTGGGATGAATTAGAGCGGAGACTGCGAGCCAGGCCTTCTCATTCAACATCAGTGCCTGACCTCACAAATGCTCTCCTGGAAGAATGGTCAAAAATTCCCATAAACACTCCTAAACCTAGTGGACGGCCTTCCCAGAAAAGCTGAAGCTGGTATAGCTGCAACGGGTGGGCAAACTCTATATTAAATCCTATGCATTAAGAATGGGATGTAATTAAAGTTCATGTGTGTGTAAAGGCAGTTGTCCCAATACTTTTGGCAATATAGTGTATATCCATCCATCAATTTTCTAACTGTTCATATGGGTCACAGGGTGATGAAAATATAGAATAATGTACAACTAATTAACAATTTACATTAATTACAAAGGATGTATGGATGTATGTAAGAGGCCTGCGTGGGTCCTGCTGGTGGACTCACTGACTAGTGCTCTTCCCATAAAAGTACTGATCTACTCTCAATCCAAGATCATTTTGTTTTCTGACATTTGCAGTGCTGTTCAGTTGCATGTGAGTTGATTTGCAGTGTCAAAAGCCCAATGGAAGATCTATAAAGTCAATCAATCAAAGAAAACACTTAAATCGTTGTTAAAGCTGTCATCTATAATGCTTTACAGAAACCTTCATAATGCATTATAATGGCATTATAAAAATCAGTCAAGCATTACAGCATCTTCTATTGACAACCATAAGGCATTATAGTGTTGATTTTAATACCTCATAAGCTCCAATGAAGCACTTATGCACTATAGATACTCTCAGCATACATTATAATGGTCAGTATAAGAATTATGGATGCTTTGTACTGCACTATAAAGGGATCTATAGTGTATTATAGATCAGAACATCATAAAGCATTCATAATGCATAACAAACATGGCTATAAATACATTATGACTTTTATACATATTTATAGCCATGTCTATAACACTTTAAGAATGCATTATAATGTGTAATGTATGATTCTTATCGAAAGTGTTACCAAAACTTGCCACAGAGCATTCCACTCTTATTTAATATTTCTTAGAATAAATCATTGGAGCAGGGATTCACATCAACATTAATGATCAGGCATTTTAAGTCAATGTGCACAAAGATTTAAAGAATTGAATCAGAAAATTTTGCTTTTTCTTGTCTTCCTAAAAAACATGTTATAGCAGTCAACTCAAAAATTGCATTATGTCCTTTTTATTTGAAAACTGATGTCTGTCCTTCGATTGAAGTAGCAGGGGGCAGCAAGATGGACTCAGGGCTTTGTGGCTGTGGACTGGAATGCCACCCCTGCCCTGTGTGGGTGGGATTAGCGAGTTCTGCTCTCGTCAAACTGTTTCCCCCTGGGATTCTTCTGCAGCTTAAATTGCCTGTAGTGTGTTATTGTGTGTGAATGTGTTTCTGTATGCGCCCTGCAATAGGCTTGCCCTGTAATCTCCAGCCCCCTCTGCAATCCTGACCAGCTTAAGCAGTTTGTTAGATGGAAGGATGACTTTAAGTGACATAAAAACAAATGATGCGAAGAACCCAAATCAAATTGCCATTCATTGAGATACGTGTTAATAGTAGTATGCGGGTTTTCAGTGAACTTAGAGTTTTCAGCCATCTTTAGTGAATCTTTTTTTTTTTGCTCTTCAGCACTGATTTGAGTTTAAGCTACAGACAGCCTTTTATAAGGCTGCAGGTCCATCCATGACTTTGACCAGGATAAGCAGTTTGAAGATGCACAGATGGTCTTTTATATGCATATGACTCTATAACTTCTCTTGGCAGATGACAGTGTTTGTTCCTCGGCGACATTTTGCTTCAGTCTGAGTCTCAGGTTATTCCTCTCTATTTGGTTTTCCTCTCAGAAATTCCTGAATTGCTCGCGAGGAGTGAGCTGTCCCGGGCCGCGTATCAGCTCCATGCAGACCCTGGGGGACGGCACCTTCTTTGCCAACCAGCTGGCTGTCCCAACTGCTGAATTTGCATTTCAAGATACTGGGACAGCAGAGGTAACCGTGTTTGATCTTGTTTTATTCGAAAAATGTATATATAACTGTGTGCCACATAAAAATGCATTTACTGTAACATAATTTAAACATCCAAACTATTATTATTATTATTATTTTATTGATGACAATGATAATAATGATAATAATATGAAATTATAAAACTAATTTTAAGTGGTAGAAAGAAAGAAAGAAAGAAAGAAAGAAAGAAAGAAAGAAAGAAAGAAAGAAAGAAAGAAAAATCAAATCAGAACAGACAGACAGACAGACAATATATTGATCCCGGAGGAAATTGATAATCTTAAGCAAGCTGAGAGTTAAGTACTCATCTCATTTAGTACAACTAATAAAGAACACCTTTAAATAAAACACAGAGCATTTAAATGATGAAGCTGGATATGCACTTGGAATCCTACTCAGATAGGCATTACTTTGCTATAACATTCCTCAGAAATATTGTTAGATTCAGTCGTTTCTCTTCGTAATCACACCTATGCACGGAATCCAGCGGAGTCGTCTTTAAATGCCCTTCTGTCTGTGGTACCCAAAAACTTGGAATGCAAGAGTCATCGCCTTCGCAGTGCACGCTGCTGCCAGAACAGGACAGTAGCAGTATGGCATTAGGTCAAAGCTTAATTATGTTTTTATGATTAAAAATAAAGAAAAAAAATATATAAACATTGCTGTTGTAAACTCCTGGGATTTCATGGGCATTAGAGCAGTAACCAAGGCAGAGGTAGGTCAGTAATTGGAGGTAACAGCGAACAAGGCCTTAGTTATCCATCTGAAAGAAGGGAACCAGATGGTAGAAAGCTGGTACCTACAGGTTTTATTCTCCCTTGCCAGCCACCCAGCTGACAGACATCGTTTACATGATGTTTGTGTAGCGCTGTAGTGGTTTTGTGAGTTATGGTGAAGGACGCAGGGGCTGAAGCTGTGTATGCTCTAGGGGAACCATGGTGATTAAATATAAGAGCAGATACTGGCAGCTTTGCCCTTCCTCTGAATCAATTATTGACCAGTGGGACTGGGTAGATGCTTGCCAATAAGGTGCAGCAACACTCTCTTCAAGAGGTACAAATAAGTATTTTGCAGAAAAAGAAAAAAATGCAAATGGACTCATTCATTCTGCCAGCATCTCCTCTGAGTGCAGCTCTTGAAAGCAGCTTTGAATTACTTTGCAGTATGGCCATTTACGCACACAGATATGACGAATCCATTCATTCATTCCACATTATGAGCCAATACAGGGTCTAATAATCCCTGCAGTAGGGCCGTGTTCTAGAGAATTATGTTGTTGCTGGTTGTAGAATATGATTAGATATTTATGGTGATATCATTGGAAATCACTATTCAGGTATTCTGCATATACATGGAATATTTCAATACGCTGTTGTTCTTTCAGTCGGTATAAAGAGCCTTTAGTTGCGACATAATACCATTAGATACAAAGAAGCCTTTTATGAAAAGTTTTGTTATATTGAAATGTACTCTGCTTCTCCTGCAAGCGGTATGTTCAAATGATGTTCCATAACAGCTGTTACTTAGTAAAGTACTCAAAACCAAATGTACAAACGTGTCATTTTGATTCTTATACCTTAGCTGTCATATGCAAAGCGGTAGGCTGGAAAGCCGCAGGTATCCTAAACGTTTAGTTTTCACTGTTTCAAAATTAAAATACTAAGTATTACAGAAACTGTTCTGTAATACTTATGTTTTCTTTTTTCAGTCATTTCGCTCCTTGTTTTTTTTTTCACTCTGCATTATCTGTCGAAAGAAAAATATTCAGTAACACTTGGATTGTCCACCTACAGAGGGTTAACAGAGTATTTGTAACATTGCAGAAACTTAGTCTGTAGATGTTTAACAGAATATACAGTATATAGAGTATATGTAATAATTCATGAAAGCACCTACATATTGGTGGAATAATTTAATTGAATTTGACTACTCGCTCAACCAATGTTATATGAATTGTCGAATCTTCTATTTGTTGAAATATTACAAAAACTCTGTATGCCCTCTGTAGGCGGACTATCCAAATAAAGTGTTGCTAGGTATTCTACCATGAAGTGTTCAAGCTGTTTAAAGTGTTAATTTTCAGAGGCCAGGTAATCCACCTTGACCATTTGCTCTTCACTTGTAAGTAGCAATGCACCAATGCAGTGTCAATTAAAATCATTCTAAGTTGTACATGTGTCTTAATCTATGGTTATGCTTGGGTATGTATTTCCTGTGTTATAGCATTGTACCCTAAATTATGAATTCTACCATTTCTAGTCATTGGACATAACCTCCTGAATTACATCATCAGACTGTCAGGTTTTTGGGGCAGAATCCCACCAGTAATCTGCTTGGTATTAAGGCTACGTTTGCCTTGTTGAGAACAACTTGAGGATTTGTCCCTCTCAAAGCCTTTGTATTTTATGTCCATAAACTCGAGCCTTGCTTTGTGTCCTGAACCAGCCTCTGAGATTCCTGTCAACATCGCTTTGTCTTGGAAATGAGCTATTTTGATTTTCTTCTCGCAGAAACAAATTAATCTAACGCCTAAAAATGCGAATTTCACTATATAAAATTAGCATAAGCAAGTATATATAAAGAAGCTTGTACCTATAATTTTCATGGTTAGGATTTCGGTATAGGTTAACAGTGTGATTAATGTCTATCTACTGTCTAAGGAAGATGTATAGCATCTTCAGAGATATTGTCATTTTTGTTTAATTGTGTTTTGATGGTTCTAGTAACCAAAGTAGCGTGGCACGCATGATGACCTTCATAAAGTTGATTCACGCTTACTATCGTATTGCCAAAACCTTTTGATTTGTAACCCATCTTCTTTGATTTACTGTCAATTTCTAGTCTGCTCAGTCAAATGCATTCCATCCCTGCAGGCTGCGGATTCTCTTAATGTTTTTGGTGGTGTATTGGAACATGCTAAATTAATCATATTTAACAACAATAAGCTGTCACAGCTGTGGGAGGTACTTACAGGTGTCCCTGAAGTGTGTCATTTGGATGGATCGGTCTGCTGATGTTCTCACTTGCAGAGAGGTTAGTGTTTTTTTTCCAAGATTAATGCAGCCCACCATCTGGTTTACCGAATGTAAGTGACCTGATTTGAAAGCTTCTTTGAATCATGTGGGTCTTTTTTTCCTCTTTTTTTTCTCCGATAAAAAATATGAAGTGATCCTTTATTTGCCATTTGCACAAGTATGAATACCGCTATCCTGTGGGACATATACACATACGAAGCCTGGGGTTTGGCTGTACCAGAAGCTTTTTTTTTTTTGCTCTAGGGTCCTGTTCACACCTGGTATTAACATGCATCTCTCCGTGTGTCTCAATTGACCGTTTGTAATCGGATCTCACTTTCCTGCCACTTATTTAAATAAGCACATAAATCATTTCTATAAGCAGAATCTGCCAAACATTACAAGAAGAAGAACCATGCATAAGATGTTTGTAATGTATGCCATAATACTCAAAATGAAATAAATAAATATATCTATAAATAAATAAATGAATAAATAAATATTTCAATGATTAGTGTGTCCTTTTTAAAAAATAATTCCAGAAAGGGTATTATATTTCTTAATAACGTTTATCTTCTACGTATATTCTTTAAATTGTATTTTGCAATAAAGTTGCGATTTTCATTCGACAGTCATTATTACAAAATATTATTTCACATAATGCATGTGTGATTTCTTAAACAACTCGAACTATGTTTCACAATGAAGTTCAACTTTTCACGTTGTAGGGATGCATTTTTATACCGTCAACACAATACAAATGTATTGTTCATTCAGGCTAATTGGCATCTCTATTGTGTGTTTATATAAGTAAATTTGTGCTCCCAACTTCTTGTTGCTCTTGCTCAGTTGGAGGATGGATGGATGGATGGATGGATGTTCTATTGATTTGTTTTTATAGATTTTTACATTAAACATCGAGGGTTACATTTACTGATGGTGAATTGAATTATGTACATTTATACATGTGTGTATATATATTTGTGTGTTTGTGTGTGTGTATGTGTATATATATATACATATATGTTGAACTTTGTTAAAAAATATTTTTCTATAACATGTAGTATTGTCTAGAATATAAAGCTATATTTTTTACTTTGTTTGCAGTCATTGTAACATATGCTTTGACACTAGTTTTAAATTTAGATTTACCTGTATATTATACCAAACTAAGAATGAAAATAAATAACTGATAATTAGACATAGTATTCTGTTTGAAAACCTTTCTCTCATAGGTGAGGTCAGTTAATTAACTGAAAGAAACCTGTGACCACAGCCAAATAAGGATTGAATTGAAATATCTAAGGCAATTCATTCCAAGATTGAAGTTCTAATGTGTAATCGACGAGCAATCAATCAGAGCCTATTGTCTGGGAATTATATAGTCAATGACTACTAATGCTACATTACAAAGATTTATGGTTCAGCCATGTTTCGTATAAATACACAATAAAAATGCAAAGATTGTGTTTTATTCTTTGGAGATATGCTGGCCCACTGGTTTGCTTCACGTCTCCTGGGTGGGCCTCACCACTCTGCCAAGAACATAATCTCTTCTTAGCTGGTTCTCATCATTGTTGGTGATCAGGCCTAGGATTGATAATGGATAATGGTAATTGGGGCCATGTGCAGCCACACAATCATCTGTGAAGGGAATATGGCGAGGGGCTTAGTATATGTCTCCATGTATCAGGAGTTTCTTTCCCAAAGACAGGCAGTTATTTAAACTGCCATCTCTAAATTGCCCCTAGTGTGAGTGTGTCAATGTGTGCCCTCCTGTAGACTGCCTACCCGTATTCTGCCATTTTATTTCCCACAGGGAACTCCTGTGTAGGGTACAGCACTAATACAGATTGTAAAGTAATTTTGTCCCTTCCAGTCGCACTAGTACAAAGTCTTGTTTCTAGAAGAGCTATGGCAGGTAATTTCACCTCATGCTCTTTCAAATACCAAGCACAATGCGTATCA